AGATTGCGTTTTCATTTCAGGACAAGGTTGATACAATCCACAAATGGCCGCTTGCGTGGCTGATTTGCCTTGTGAAATTCTCTATACATTTATCTTTGTATTCTTAAAAATTCTCGTGCAAAATTCGCTTTTAATATTCCTGGAAATCTCTTTGTATGCCATTTAGAATTTGAAAAAGTTCATCCTAATAGGGTAAATGTTGGCTTCGGCACCCATTGACTGTTTTCGGCAACCAAAATTTAAACGATAATTTCACTATGTTTTCCCATCAACACACTTCCCTGAATGTATTCAAACGATTCTTTAGTCTTTCAGCTTCAATCTGATTATATTTGTACGACCGAGCAATCCTATTATGCCAGATTTTTCTTCAAATGAAGTATACGCACTACAAAATGGGGCTGATTTCGAGTTGCCGATAATAGAACAGCTAGTTAACACGCAGTTCTAATGGGAAGGTTGCCGAAGAAAAAGAGGCTGCCGACAATAGTCACACTCACCTGAGAAGTTTGGAGCGTTGTAAAATCGCTTTCAAACCGGTTTGAAAAATTCTGCCGATTGGAATGGATAGAGAAGCAAGCAGCAGATGAATGTTAACAGACACGTGATATATGTGCGTAACGCTGACAAAATGCTAATAGAAGTGCGGACGCTGCTTAGATTGACGAGAATACGTAAATTCCCCTATTTACTAGGATTTACCCTCAGAATACCATAGAAATTTTCCTCCGAATTTAATTGAAATGCAACTCAAAATGCTCTCGAGAAGGATATCTTGAATCTCTCCTTAGCATTCCCCTCGATAATTGCTTCAGAATTTCCTGAAATACTACTCAGAGTAACCAAACTTTTTGAAATGTCTTCATAATTCTTATGAACTTTTGATTAATTGATCGATCAAAATTTCAGATATTTTTAGCCGTAAGTGATAATTAGGTGTAGTTTCAGGATGGTAGTCGTATCATCATTAAGTTTGCGTTATTTAAATCACTTGGATTTCCCTTCTGAATTCCCCTGGAATGCTCCATCAATTTTCTTCTAATTTACTTTAAAGTTCCCTAGAATACCACTAATAATCCCCATGATAGTTTCTTCAGAACTACCTTAGTGTTCACCTCTCGGTTCTCTATAATTATCTACAATTCTCCTCAAAACTCATTTGGCATTCTCATCATAATTCTCAAGAGATTATTGCCAATGCATTGATGTGTCAGAATCCAAAATTGTTGTCCAAGAGCACATAGACCGGAGGAAGGACAGCAGGCACTTCTTGAGGCATTCTTCTTTATATATTTGGCCGTTGATGGTGCGGCTTGCTGAATTTGCCGCACCCTCAGATCGCCCACCACACTAAGTACTTCTTGACAAATTTGTCGACCTTCTTCTACCGGAACACTTGCCGATGAAAAACTCCAGGCCAGGGATCTGCTTGGCGTCAGCTTTAGTGTACGTCTCGTCGTCCATTACGATACATTTTGGCTGCACCAACCACTCGCGGTACCTTTAAAACATGAAGTCCGGCTCGCTTCATTGTCTGCTGGACGAACCAGACGGAAGAATGGGACCTTGCGCTTAAAGTAATCCCTCACTTTCCTTGCGTTCACGGGGTCGGTCGTCTTCGCTTTTCTTCCGCTGCCAGCTCGCCACAGGGTCGTCTGGCTCTCTTAAAACGGTTTTTCCACATAATTTTTTGTCGAAGCACTTCTTGCTTGGAAGCCATCTCGATAACCACTTGACAGATTGTGACAAGATTTTGCACATGTAAACATTACACTATAAACTAGTTTTACTCTACATTTCATAATTTTTTACCCATGCAATAAAAAGTTATACACATAAGAAAGTTTCCTTTTCCGCTGCGTACCAGGCTTATTGTGAAACACATCCATTGCATGTGTGAATCTCATTCTGTGAACCACGCCTGAACACTATTTATTTGAATTGTGATAGATTCGCTGTTCTTCACATGTTGATATCAATGGCTTTACACATCATAGTTCAATCGCTCAATGTTCTACAATATTCTTAAAACTTCAGAGTAGTTGGTCGATCTTTTGGTATCGCGATAAGCTGAACTACCTACTAGTTATTTCGAATTCATGACTTAGTTCCCTTTAAACGTGATCGAGTAATCGAATTTTCATGAACTAAATCTCAAATCCGTGAACTTAGTTCACGCCTGTTCAGCGCGACTAGTGATTTCGCAACGCTAAGCAAAATACAAAATGGAATCATGATTTCGTGTTATCATGAACCCACAATCGTGATTTTTCGTTCCTGCAATCGCAGCTGGTTGTTGTCAAACTTATCCCTATTGAGTGCTTGGATTCGTCGAGAATAGTGTGTTGATTAAAAGTGCATGCAGCTGAGTCGTATCGTCAGAATGGTGGTGAAGTTCATCAAGCAGGCCGAAATCCTTGAAGGAAAGGGTGAACCAGTGAACGTCTCGTTCCAAAGTGACAAAGTGCCGTGAAAGCGGTTCTAGTTGTGGAAAAAGCTTTGAATATTGTTCCAAAGGTGGTGGATATATTTTCCGCTAGTTTGGATCCAAGAAATAGCATGGGAGGGAAGGTGAGCAAGCACCGATGCGGCTACTTAGCATCGGTGGGGATGTGATTAGTGCTTGCTGCTTGTTATGATGACGATGAAGGTGGTAGCAGCATAGCAGGCAGCTGCGTCCATGGTGACCGAAGATCCGTTGAATTGGTAAGCTGAAAGTGTGTCCACTCCATCTGCTGGACAGACGCCTGCTGCCAATTTGGAGTGTAGGTGAAACCTGCATCGTTCGGATGTTCCAGCCTAGTCTTCCGTCGTTAGTTTCCTTCCACTTCTATCCATGAACATTATTTTGATGTTGACGTTTTACAGCTCATGAACCCGTTCCCGTTTTCGAGAACAGGTTCACGATATCAAGCATAACCCTTGAACTTCAATCACGTTTACCAGAACAAGATCATGATTTACAGAATAGAGTTTGTTGGGCACAGCCAACAGACACGAACGAACACGATTTTTCTTGTTGGTTCACTGCCAACGAGATCGACGGACAGACTGATTGTTGGCCACTGCCAAGGTGATTTCCAAAACACGATTGCGTAAAAATGGTTGCAACATCGATGGGGGTTTACGGAGCCATGCAAGAACAATTTGACTATCTGACCACAAGAACAGAGACGAGAAGTTTAATTGCATGGCAGGAATGGTTTTTTGGACAAGCTTCGATAGCAGTAAAGCAGCACAAAGCTCTTTGCGAGGAATCGTCAGTTCATGGATAGGGGCAATTTTCGACTTGCTACGAAGAAGTCTCACCGTGATCACATCATTTGCTTGGACACAACGAACATAAAGACAAGCTCCATAGGCGATCCCTGAAGCATCAGCGAACCCATGTAATTCAACATACTCAAAATGAGGAACCAATACATGTCTTGGAACTCGAATGTTTCTAACCTGAGCCAAGGAGGAACGGAATTGCAACCAAGAATGAAGAATTTCACCTTCAAGGGGCGTGTCCCAACCAATCTTCAGAGTCCATGTTCTTTGCATTAGGTGCTTAGCAAGCACGATAACTGGGGACACGAGGCCGAGTGGATCAAACAGTTTCGCGATTTCTGAAAGATCAGGATTGATCGCAAATAGAAATTCATCGCTATTTGGACACCAAAGAAGACCGAGGGTTTTTATGACTTCATTGGCGGATATTTCGTTCAATTGGACAAGAGTTTCACGCTCAGATTCGGGAACACCTTCGAGAATCCTTTGATCATTGGCACACCATTTGTGCACTGGGAAACCTCCTTTCTGCAACAAATTCCGAATTTGTTGACGACATTCGATGCAGAGTTGAAAAAATCATGACAAAATCACCAGCATTCACTATTGTCGTTTTCGTTTTTGCGGTGTAGCTACACCGGTGCTACACTGCCCTACACCGAAATAATTGAGGGTGTAGATATAGGATGCACTTTTGTTTACAAACAAATGATGTTGAGCTGTCAAAGACTCATACTTATTCCTGCTTATACTACACCAGTGCTACACCGCAAAAACGAAAACGACATATGAAATGAATTTTTCATCCATAGTGAACTTTGATGAATTTTAGTGATTTTTTCAGCCCTGATTCGATGGCCTTCTCGATACTGTCAGTACCTGACAGAACATCGTCAACGTAGCAATCCTCTCGAATAATATGCGCTGCCAGCGGAAACTCGTCACCTTCAACAATACACAACTGAAGCAACGTTCTGGTTTCAAGAAACGGAGCAGCGGAGGTACCGTAAGTCACGGTTAGTAGCTCGAGAACTCTGAGAGCTTCCGATGGCTTTGAACGCCAGAAAATTCGAAGGAATGCGACCTGTGAAGGATCAAGAAAAACCTGTCTGAACATTTTAGCAATGTCAGCAGTGAACACGTATGTGTGTGTCCGAAATCGCAAGATAATTTTCTCAAGGACGACTGCACCAACCTGCAAAACGTCGTTTAGTGAGGTTCCGGAGGAGAGCTTTGCATCGAAAACAACTCGTAACTTGGTACTTGAACTCGACGGCCTTAGGATAGTGTTGGTACGGCCAAATAAAAAGGCGCGGCACTGTTATTGAACAGCGTTTATTTCCTTTTAGGATCGCTTCAAACTAGAAATTTAAGTTAGGGTTAGTTTAGCAATGTAGGTTTAGATTTATAGGTTACCACTTACAAATCAGTGGCCCTTCCTTCACATGCCTTTTCACTGGCTGTCCAACTTAGCTTTAGTCCTAGTTTTAGTGTTAGTCTAGGTAGAAATCAGTATAATTAGGTTTAAATTCACCCTGTGGATTTGGGATTATTTACCGTACGCAACAATAGGAAACTAGATTAAGAAACGAACTATTTAGGCACTAGTTTAAGAAAAATACTTTTCACCCGCGTGATTCTTCGTCTGCTTGACTCAAAGGATGACGTCTCTTTTTAGGTGACGTTTATGCTGTCGATCATCCCGTCGCACATAGACTGGCGGTCTGCTAGGCACAGTTGATTGGACCGGTTGCCAGTTCGCCGGGCGGTTGAGCAAGTGCCCCTGTGGCAACATTCTCCTCCGGGTGCGGTCCACTGGACTCCATGACCGCACTGCTATTCCTAACGTCGAGAACCGCTAACTTCAATACCGGTCGACGAAGAACTCCTCTCGTTGTGTTGATCATAGCTTGGCGAACGTGGCTGTCTGGTGCCCTGATCGATTCGATCACGATGCCCCGCACCCAGCCGTTCCGCTTGCCTTCGTCTGCTATCAGCACAAGGTCACCCACTTCCACACGTCGAGCTTCGTCGAACCACTTAGTCTGCTTCCGAATCACCGGCAGGTATTCTTTCAGCCAGCGTTGCCAGAACCGGTTGAGTTGTCGCTGAATGCGGTCCCATGAGTCCCGAGAAGCCCGCTGTTGAACTTCGATACCCACGCTTGGCTGCTTTACCCCATTCGAGCTCCCGAGTAGAAAGTGGTTCGGCGTAAGAGCGTCTGATTCCGCTGAATCAAGTGGTATGTACGTAAGTGGTCTGGTGTTTACAATGCCCTCTGCCTCCACGATCAAGGTCTGCAGCTCTTCATCGTTGAGTTCACTGAACGGACGAGTCGCTCCCATGCACCGCCCATGTGCGGAGCGCTTGGCGGAATGAAGGTCCACTTCGTGTTAGCACTGGTGAACGTTGCTGATACTCCTTCGTTGATCTGCTCACGGAGCTGTCGTTCAGCCCCATGGAAGTTCGTAGCATTGTCACTGAAAAACTCCACCGGTGATCCTCGGCGACAGACAAACCGTCGGATGCAGCAAATACATGACGCAGCTGATAGGCTGTATGCCACTTCAAGGTGAACGGCGCGCACAGTCAAGCAAGTGAAGAGCGCAATCCACCTTTTCACATTCGAGCGGCCCTGCTTGACTAACAATGGGCCGAAGTAGTCCACTCCTACGTAGCTGAATGGACGGTCGTGTACGGCTAACCGTGCTGGTGGCAGTGGTGCCATCGGAGGAATAGTCGGGAGTGCCTTACGAATTTTGCAGAATTGGCAGCTTCGTCCAATCTGCTTTACCACCGATCGCAGTTTCGGTATGATGAACAGCTGGCGGACTTCGTTCACTACCGTTTCGGAGTTTGCATGACGGTAGAGCCGATGATAGCGTGCGACCAGAAGTTCCGTGCACCGATGCTTTCTTGGCAGGATTACTGGAAAGCGCACGCTGTGATGAATATCCTTCGCCGCTGCAATCCGGCTGTTTTGGCGCATCAAACCCCGTTCATCCATCATTGGCATCAGTTGGTAAACGATGCTCGATCTGTCAATCGATTCCTTCTTGTCCTCCGGTAGTACTTGATTATTTTTAAGCGTCGTTACCTCATCCGCAAAGGCTTCTCTTTGGACCTGCTTCAGGACTTCATTTTCGGCATCATCCAGCTCAGGTTGAGTTAATCGACCACTGCGTCTTTCTCCCTTCTTGGTCGCGTTGAAAATGAATCGTAGCACGTAAGCCATACTACGCTGCAACCTCTCCCATTAAGAGAAACGCTCGTAGGCGATCACAGGTTCCCAAGTTGCGTGAAAGAGTACTGACGATCGAACTTCTTCGGCCGTATCCACGACTAGATCCGTAGAATTCGGCCATTCATGTTCCGGGAAGCGCAAGAACTCCGGTCCGTTGAACCACTAGCTGTCACTACTGAAGTAAGGTCCACTTCCCCACTTTGTTGCCTCATCTGCTGCGTTAAACCCCGACGGAACCCATCTCCACTCATCGACTGTTGTATTTTCGAGAATTTCGCCGACCCGGTTGGCCACGAACGGTCGATAGTTTCTCGGATCTGCGCGGATCCACGAAAGCGCGACGGAGCTGTCCGTCCACAGGACTCGTCTTCTGATGGTAATGGAGTGGTTTGCTTGCACGAACTTCATCATTCTTGTTCCCAGGAGACATCCTTGAAGTTCCAGCTTCGGTATAGTCATTGGCTTGAGTGGTGCTACTTTGGCCTTTGCAGCGATCAGTGTGCACTGGGGTGTGCCGTCAGCGGTGATTGTCCTCAGGTACAGCGCACAGGAATACGCAACGGACTGGCATCTACGAAGACATGAAGTTCAGTAAATTCATACGAACGTGCTGACGCTTCTGGGAAATAGCAGCGAGGAATGCGAACGTTCGCGATGTACGAAATCATCTTGATCCACCTGCACCATTCTCCATACTGATTTCCACCGACTTCTTCATCCCATGCGGTTCCAGCGCGCCACAAGTCCTGCACCAGAATCTTGCCGTGGATCAGAAATGTGGCCAATAAACCCAACGGGTCGAACAGAGTCATGACGCAGCGTAACACTTGCCTCTTCGTTGGGATTTTGTCATTTTCCAGGAGAGATTGAACTTCATCGCTCATTCGAGTGCTGAACGATAGTTCGTCCGTTACTGGGTCCCACAACATCCCGAGCACACGTTCAGTAGTGGTGCTCGTAGTTATTAAGCTTTTACTGGTAGCTGCTTGAGTCTCCCCAAGGTGCTCCAGAACACCTTCGTTGTTCGAGATCCAGTTCCTCAATTCGAACCCACCGTTCCGGAAAATCTGACGTACTTCCTCAGAAATACGAAGAGCTTTTTCTTCCGACCCAAAGCTATCGAGGTAATCGTCCACGTACGTGCTCTGCAGTATTCCTTCCGCTGCTCTGGGATATCGAACACTGTGCTCCCGAGCGTTCGTATTTTTCACGAATTGTGCCGACGCTGGTGAGCATGTCGACCCAAACGTTGCAACATCTACCAGGAATATTTCCGGGTCCTGACTTGGATCCAAACGCCACAGGATTCGCTGTGAATGCTTGTCAGCCGCGCGCATCAGAATCTGCAAGAACATTTCCTTCACGTCAGAGCACACCGCAATCTTGAACTGCCGGAAGCGGAACAATACTCCTAACAGCGACACCAACTGGTCCGGCCCTTTTAGCAGCATGCTGTTTAGTGAAACTCCGTCCACCTTGGCAGCAGCGTCCCAAACGATGCGTATTTTCCCTGGTTTCTTCGAGTTGGTCACAACCCCCACAGGGAGGTACCAGATTCTGCGAGGATTCGCATCTTCGAGTTCGTCCGTTGTGGCTTTATGAATGTAACCATTGCTTACGAACTCTTGCATCTGCCGGAAAACGTTCTCTTTCAACGCTTTATCCCGTGACATCCTCCTTTCCAGGCATTCCAGCCTGCGAAGTGCCATCGTGTAGCTATCTGGCAGCTCCGCATCGTCATCTTTCCACAGCAGTCCAGTTTCAAATCGCTCACCGACACGAACCGTTGTCTGCTCCAGCAAATCCAGTGCTCGCTGTTCTTCTTTAGATCGTAGGGTGACATTTCCTGCTCCCACTTCCTCGAGATCGTAGAAGTGCTTGACAGTATCATGTAGTTCCTTATTCGTCGTGCACTCGCAAACGTGGAAACTGAATTCACTTTTCGATCCAGGCTGTTGCTTACCGTAGACGCACCATCCGAGTCTGGTCTTTACCGCAACTGGTCCATTTCCGTTACCTTCCCTCGACTTCAATGGAACAGCTAATTGTGGATTGTCAAGTCCTATCAGCAGCTTAGGTACGGCGTTCTTGTAGCTCTGTATCGGTAGCTGCTTGAGATAGTCAAACTGCTTCACGGCTTCCACCAATTGGAAGGTCTGGCTGGGAAGGTTCAGATTATTCACGGTACGAACGTTCGACATCTTGAACCGTTTCTGCGAACCGGCTCCACCGATAGTGATGGTGATAACTTTCGACTTTTCTTCGATTCTGGACGTATTACCCGTCCATCGTAAGCACAATGGCTGAGTAGTTCCATTTACTCCGAGTTGCTCTGCAATATCGTTCTCCATCAGAGTCAGCGATGATCCTTCGTCCAAGAAAGCATACGTATTCACCTCACCAGTTTGCCCATAAAGCGTAACAGGCACGATCCGAAACAGAACGCTTGATCCGAGGTACTGATGAGTATGACTCTCTGCCTGTTCTGTTGGCGCAGTAGCTGCTGCAGTTCGTCTTGTTGAATGCAGCAACGGATGATGGCGATACTGACAGCCATCGATATTGCAACGGTTGTTGCTTCTACACGACCGCCTTCCGTGACTGAATAGACAAATCTGACATAGCGACAAAGCTCTAACTTTTCGCCAGCGATCGTCGACATTCAAAATCTTGAATCCCGAGCACTCGCGCAACCGATGCCCCACCTTACTGCAGAAGATGCATTCGATTCGCTTGCTTGCTACCGACGGCTGATCATCAACGGCGTTCCCGGTGTGGGAATTAACGTACCCTCTCGGCTTTGGTTTGTCCTTGCTCCTGCAAGACTCCGGTTCGAACAGCACCACACTAGATGCATTACTGACGACGTTCTCCATGTATCTGCTGAATGTCTTCAGATTCACCACGCCGAGACTTCGCTTGTACCCGGCCCACATAAGCTTCTGGTCGGCTGGTAGCTTTCCGATAAGTTCCTGAAGAAGCATCGGATTCGACAGGTGTGCATGTTCGTTGGCTGCTTCGATATGGTCACAAAGGGCTTGCACTGCCATTCCATATTCGATCAGCCCTTCCAGCTTATCCGACTTTGGAGCGGGAATCTTCCGCACCTTTTCCAGCAACGCGTTAATCAACAGCTCCGGGCGTCCATATCGCATACGAAGTGCCTCGATTACCTGTGGTACCGCAACAGGCAATACCAACCTACTGCGCACCGTCTCGAGAGCGGGTCCTTTGAGGCACCGTTGTAGTCGGAGCATGTTCTCCCCGTGCGTGTACCCACACGACGCCGTCGTATACTCGTAGTTGGAGATGAACATAGGCCAATCCGTGGGATCACCCGCAAACTGTGGCAGATCACGCGCCAACGATTGACGTGCGGCAAGCTGATGCGGTGACGGACCGTTCTGGTTAGCGTTCAATCGCTGCTGCTGCTGCTGCTGCCGATGATACCACTCCTCCAACGACGTAGGCTGTACGTTCATATTCGTTGTGCGCGCGAAGGGTTCACGCTGCTGTTCGTTGTTGACGAAGGGGATGCGTTGCTGTTGGCGACTATCGAGGGTATTTTGCCCGAAATCGCGAGAATCAAACCGTTGTTCCCTCGTAACAATGGGAACCGTTTCGAAAGGGATCGCGAAGGACTTATGAGGGACATTACCACCGTACATTTTATTGAGGAAACCACTATCGTTAACATTACTCTTACCTGCACCGCCAACCTCATTGGCATGCGTTTTCGGGTAGGCACCAAGGTTCCTTGGCTGCTGATTACCTTGTTGTACGTCGCTGGATAGATTCGGGAAATTCCTCTGACCGATCGTTGGGCTGATGTTCCAATCGGTTGGGTCTAATCCAAGCTGCCTTTTGCACTGCTGCAGTTCACGTCGCAGTTCCTCCATTTGCTGACTGGTTGGAATTGATTGTAGTTGGCAGCGTTCAAGCTGCTTTTCGAGATCGTGTAAAGTTGTCACTATGTCGCGATCGTTTACATCCGCGGGCTGAGCGACTGCTGGTGGATTCGATTGTCCACCCACCGCGCCGTCTTCTTGCTCCGGATGATTGCTGATCCAATCGGCAACTCTTTCTCGTCGTTCGCGATTGCTTACCCGACTCCGGGATTCAATCGCCTTGTCCATCAGCTCCAACTGCTCGTCCAAAAATTTCTTCTGCAGTTCATGCTCCATTCGTTGTCGTTCGAGCTCCTGGCGTTGATTCAACAGGGCAAGATTGCGTTGTACGTTGGTTGTACAGCTGCTCGAAGAGATGTTTCCTGGTGGGGTGGATTTGGTGGTGGTGATGCAGTGCAGTTCGAACACATCCACGCTCGGTCACTGACGGACTCCGTCACACCAGCACACGAAAAGTGCCACCACAGATCACACCCATCGCACTGCACATAATTTTCATCGGCATCTGGATTGTCGCAGGCTACACAATCGCCGTGCTGTACCATCTCCGGATCTCCGGAGTTGCGGGAACCGGCAACTGCTCGATGATTTTTTGAAGATGTTGGTACGGCCAAATAAAAAGGCGCGGCACTGTTATTGAACAGCGTTTATTTCCTTTTAGGATCGCTTCAAACTAGAAATTTAAGTTAGGGTTAGTTTAGCAATGTAGGTTTAGATTTATAGGTTACCACTTACAAATCAGTGGCCCTTCCTTCACATGCCTTTTCACTGGCTGTCCAACTTAGCTTTAGTCCTAGTTTTAGTGTTAGTCTAGGTAGAAATCAGTATAATTAGGTTTAAATTCACCCTGTGGATTTGGGATTATTTACCGTACGCAACAATAGGAAACTAGATTAAGAAACGAACTATTTAGGCACTAGTTTAAGAAAAATACTTTTCACCCGCGTGATTCTTCGTCTGCTTGACTCAAAGGATGACGTCTCTTTTTAGGTGACGTTTATGCTGTCGATCATCCCGTCGCACATAGACTGGCGGTCTGCTAGGCACAGTTGATTGGACCGGTTGCCAGTTCGCCGGGCGGTT